GTAGTCACGCAAAACTTTCCAACCAAGTTGAACTCGGATCCGAGGATGATCTCGAGGTATCCAGCCAGTTCAAAAGAGCTAGGGCGGGATACAACTTGGGAGCCAAATCCCTAGGAATTCCTTAACCAGCATATAGTAAACTTCGAAGCTACCCTCGACCATCCAAAACAATCCCCAAAGCCACCTTAAAACCATGTCGGTACGCCATCTGAAAGCCCTAGGTCTACCAAATAGGGTAATGATGTAATGATATATGTTTGCTTATCTAAATGTATGTTTACTTACGACGTAATGATATGCGTTTTGTCTTTTACTCGTAAAACTGTGTGATTGCATGAATGAAAAACGTTTTCAAAATTCATAAACATCATTCTCTCATAAGATTTTCATTCACTCATTAACAACTTATCATATGAAGATTAAAAACACATGCATGAGACGACAAATGAATTTGAATTCATACATCATTAACATTTTGCATAAGCATCACGCATACACCATCATAAAAAGAACGGAAATAATTTGACAATATTGAGACAACCCAGGTTTCCTCAAAATTGCTCTTCCTCAAGGAAAATTCAAATCATTAAACATCGACCGGATCCAAAGTTATGCTCATTTTGGAGTCACTATAGAGGGAATTATACTTCATCAAAAGAAGGTTAGCGACACTTGAAGAAATGAAAGAACATGTGAGCATTTTCCATAAGGCTTCGTCCAAAATTTGAAGAAAATCATGACTCACTGCTGGAGAGCAACCACAACTTCAGTCCAATCAAGAAAATCATTAGGAAAGCCACGAAGCAAAGCTCAATGCATGGATGATGTTGATTATCATCAACTAATCGAGACAGTTTAACTTGTTAAAATTTGTATCGCTTTTGCTTCCATCGTCGTGAATAAAAGATCTTTCAACTTTCGACCTCTCTGGAGCATTATGGTGAATAGTTCAATCTTAATTTAAGAGTTTGCATCAATGATTTTTCATTATCAAAATAACGAATGCCACTTCGGATTCTTTTTTTTTTTTAACATATTTATTTTCTAAAAAATGAAAGCCATCAAAATCCAGTTTTATTTTCAAGCTAAGCCATGAGATTGTCATGCCAAGAAAATGAGAGCACCCCACTGGTGCTGAGATTTGGGACACCCCACTGGTGTCAAGCAATTATCAACACCATGCTACTGTCATAATTTTGAGCACCCACTGGTGTTACGAGTGTACGTGTTTTAATAAAATCGAGAGATAAACACCCTACTGGTGACTATGAAATATGTGAGCTGATAGTCAAAAGGTGTAATGAGTATACGACATCATGCTACTTGTAGAATCTCGTCACCACTACAGTCGACTTTCGCCAACAAATTGAGACTCAGCTTACATGAACTCAAATAGCCAAATCTCGACGTACAAGAGACAAACGCTACAGATAGGAAACTCTCACAATATCTCGTGACAAGAAGACCGGGAAGTTCAGGGATCCCATTTATCAAAACCCAATAATCACACGAGTGAAGCACTCATCTATACAAACAAGCACATGGCATCAAAATCCTCACTTCTACAAAAAGAATAGCCAATTCAACCTAGCTAACGAGAAGTGACACCCACATTATCAATCATCAAGACAAACTCTCCACTTTTCGATACTACTCCTACCAAAGACAAATTCTAGATCAAGGAAGAAAGAAGCATAGTCGGGGGCATGACAGAGTCAAGTAAGTCCCACACGCAAAAAAAGAAAAGTGAAAAAGAAAAAAAAAAGAAAAAAAGCAAAGGACAAAAGAAAAACAAACAAAATATCGTGGGACTAATTAGGTGCCCCTGTCTAGCTTTTGAAGTACCAACTGTCTGCAACAAGCCAAAGTCTTGCACGATCAATCTCAAGATACGACAAGAAGGACCCTCAAGTAGTAAACTTTGATGATAAGAAAGTCGTTATAGCCAAAATCACACCATCCAAGGACTCATCATTTTGAGAGCAAATCGGAAGTTGAATCTTCACCATAATCAACATTTAGAGGTCAATCAAGAATCTCGACAAGTCAATAACCAAATTGCACTCGCAAAAACCTCAAACCTCGACTCATGAAACCATAATTTCAAAGACAGGGGGGCAAGACCAGTTGAAGATAAACCCCCCAAGTATGCCCAGAACCCCCTAAATTTTTAACAAGTCTCCATCAACAAAATGTCTGGGATAATAGTGGTTCTCAACTCATCAGGTCAATCTCATACTTCAGGGGCAAGCACAAATCCCTCTACGAGAAGCTTTATATGGATAAGTGAAGATTTCACATGTCCACTCCTCATTACGGATAAACAATTTTCAAAAACAAGAAGACGCCTACCATCAAAGTCATGTCGAACAAAAGCCCCTTCATTGGAAGTGAGGACCGTCTACGACAACGCCGTATGGAAGTCTCCTAAATCAATTACATCAAGGTCTCCCATATCGAACAAATCTTCATAAGGAACACTGTTGGCCATCAAAATAAAAGACGACGTCTCAAGGTGACCAGAATCTTAATGATAGCTGAAGTGTCGTACACTCAAATCACCTATAGGATTGAGTGATGAGAGAAATACAAAGCGGGAGTGAAAGCGAGCAAAATCAAAAGCAAGAGTGAGAGCGAGGGCTTACTGATTTTCTCATGGCTTGGCTTACACTTCTCTTATTAAAAAGAAAACTAAATTTGGCAACATGACAACTACCACACAAAAATGGTTTTCTCCCGTTCGCACACACTTCTCGAAACCGAAGTCTTGACATGGCTTTCAATTTTAATTCTCTAATAAACGTTTTTCAAACATTTTTGCTTTCGTCTTAAGTCAAGATTGATATAGTCACTCTTTGTTCCGGAGAATAGAAAGTGAGTAACGGATCTTCGGGGGCAAAAATGGCGCACCATGGGAGAAGGGGAAGTCTAAGCACCCAAGAATGGAAAAACAACTTTTCACTCATGAGTTGATGAAGAAATCTCAAGGAGTTAGAGAGCATTCAATCTCATTTAACCAACCGGCGAAGCTACTATCCTTCAACTTCATGACCCGAAGGAGGAGGAACCAACATACCGCACATACCAAGAGATATACACATGTAAAACATGTGGGCCCAAGCTTGGCCGACAAGAAGAATGAAGTAATATACACCAATGGCTCACCCCACAAAGTATACTCTCGCGCAACCAGCACCACGAAGATAAGTTTCAAGCGAGCAAGCTGAAAGTCACTCCAACATAAACATGACCTAAGGATCGAGTCGATCAAAAGGAAGTGACGATTCCTGGAGGATGAGCAATTTAAAGGAACCCCGGGTTAAAATGAAAAACAAAAACCAAACAAAATGACATATTCTCACAACAGTTGCCAAATGCATCATATCATTTTTTTTTTCACTGAGTATTCATGACTTCATTAGCATGACACATCACACAATCATTCTCAAAATCATTTTGAAACTCCTTAAAAGATAACATCACATATTAAAATGGATCATGCATTCATTGACTACAATTCCCAAAAACTCATACATTTGACTAGATTTCAAATGCCTGTCAAATCATGCTACGTACAACAATTACATACACAAAACTTCTTCGAGTCTACAAAGTGCATTTCACATACAATTATGGCCATGCATAGCATCCATTTAGGTTTGTCCTAAACAGATACCATAACAAAAATACATTGGTGCTGGCGAGCGCCCGAAAAATACGACACCAACGCTGATGAGCGTTTGAAAAATACATTGATGTTGGCGAGCGCCCGAAAAATACGACACCAACGCTGAGCGTTCGAAAAATACATTGGTGCTGGCGAGCGCCCGAAAAATACGACACCAACGCTGATGAGCGTTCGAAAAATACATCGGTGCTGGCGAGCGCCCGAAAAATACGACACCAACGCTGATGAGCGTTCGAAAAATACATCGGTGCTGGCGAGCGCCCGAAAAATACGACACCAACGCTGATGAGCGTTCGAAAAATACATCGGTGCTGGCGAGCGCCCGAAAAATACGACACCAACGCTGATGAGCGTTCGAAAAATACATCGGTGCTGGCGAGCGCCCGAAAAATACGACACCAACGCTGATGAGCGTTCGAAAAATACATTGGTGCTGGCGAGCGCCTGAAAAATACGACACCAACGCTGATGAGCGTTCGAAAAATACATTGGTGCTGGCGAGCGCCCGAAAAATACGACACCAACGCTGATGAGCGTTCGAAAAATACATTGGTGCTGGCGAGCGCCCGAAAAATACGACACCAACGCTGATGAGCGTTCAAAAAATACATTGGTGCTGGCGAGCGCCCGAAAAATACGACACCAACGCTGATGAGCGTTCGAAAAATACATTGGTGCTGGCGAGCGCCCGAAAAATACGACACCATTGCTGATGAGCGTTCGAAAAATACATTGGTGCTGGCGAGCGCCCGAAAAATACTACACCAACGCTGATGAGCGTTTGAAAAATACATTGGTGCAGGCGAGCGCACGAAAAATACTACACCAACGCTGATGAGCGTTTGAAAAATACATTGGTGCTGGCGAGCGCCCGAAAAATACGACACAACACTGATGAGCGTTTGAAAAATACATCGGTGCTGGCGAGCGCCCGAAAAATACGACACCAACGCTCGCTGATGAGCGTTCGAAAAATACATTGGTGCTGGCGAGCGCCCGAAAAATACGACACAACGCTGATGAGCGTTTGAACAATACATCGGTGCTGGCGAGCGCCTTAAAAATACGACACTAACACTGACAAGTGTTCGAAAAATATAGCACTTACGAAGAACAACAAATTCTATGCTTCGACATCACACACATACACAACTCAGGTCTTCCTCCACTCTAAGATCGCTTATTTTGGAATCTTTGACCCAACCATCGCCAAAGTTACTTATGAAAAATGTGGTGTCTTTTATAGAAACTTTGAATAACTCTTTATACAAAGAGATATACAAAGGGGGGCAACTGTAGACACCACATTTTGTCCGGGATAATTGTTTTATTGAAAATAATTATTCTAACGTCGTACTATGATTATATTTAAAAGGGAAATTGAAGTTAGTTTGGTTGAGACTAACAGTTGCAAGTCAATATGAACCAACAATTATCAAATTTGCTCCTAGTCGATTCTAGGGCATAATTAGTTAAGATATGATCGGTTTAAGTTAAGATTAGCAGTGACAAATCTTAAATATAAATTCTCAATTAGAAGGGAGGAATGACTATAGTGAAAAGTTTGTTGCTCAAGTTTGGACTTGGGTATGATAGATTAAATGTGACAAATTGAACGAGGCAAAACAAAGACTTTATTATCAAATTTGATACATCGTACATCACATGAGTAAACCTCTAATAAAGCAATGACTAAAATTAATTACAATTAATTACAAGGATTATTGCGAGCTCTATAAAAAAAAGGAGGAAATTGAAGTCATTGGCCCATTGCTACTTGCTCTAGGCACAAACAAACCCACACCAGTAGCCCAATTCTCAAACTATAAACCCAATCCAGGCCCGTAATTTTCGGCCCAGTCCACAAGTCAACCAGCCCAGTCAAACAAAGTCAACGAGTCATCTTCGGTCAACTGACTTCTTACAGCCTTATCTCATCCCAAAGGCCAACAATGATTACTGCTACTTCTTGAAAGGAGGAAAATGGCCAGCTCTTCTGCAAACCGAACAAACAATTGACAACACACCCAAATGAATAGTAAAAAACCAGATATAAAAGTGGAGGTCGGCTAAAAAGAGGGGGGGGGGGGGGGGCTTCTGGCTGGAAATCCAAAAAAGGAGGGAGAGAGCAAACAAAATACACGGCAAGCTTGATAAGAAAAAAGGCAGCTGATGCTCAAGAAAAAGGACACCAAATAGCAGCAGCAAGTAGAAGCAAAAGGGAAAAGAGAGCAAAAGCAAAGCAAGAAGATAATCACAGCAACCACGAAGAAACCATTTCCAAGGGTCCAGGTTGGTATTTCTCAAACACATCCCATATTTCATATACATACGAATACATATACGAATGATCACTATATGCACTTGATAGGGATACTATAAAGTGAATAGATCTCTACTCCATGGTAGATCTGTAATAGATAAGTATGTATATGGCTTGATTATAAATCTACTTTTGTTTCCACTTGCTTTCTTTTAAAAATTGTGCTACGAGCTAACCTCTAAAACAGAATTAGCATGAGAATAATGAAGTGGTTTGTACCTGTGTTCTTTGCTAGATATGTTTTCGTGATTGTTAATGTTTTTTATCCATGTATCTAGACATCTAATTCGGTTTACGTTAGCTCAATCAACCCGCCTAAGTTTCAGATCTCCGTCTAAGATCGATTTAACAAAAATCATAACTTAACACTTATCTTAAGTTTAATAAATCACAAAGATGATAATTTCTTAGTGTTTTTCATCATATAGAATATAGAATGAAAAAAGCTTCAACCTCACAATCGACCCACAAAACAAAATCATAGCATAAGAAACCAGTTAATGGCAAAATCAATTAAGATCCAAAGTTCTGATTTAGTCATAGCAGTGGCTGTGACTTAGGTTATTGTTCTTAATCGTTCTTTCCAAACCATTGTCGATACTATATTCTTAAACTCCTATCCCAAACATAGAACATAATGTTCTTTCTCAGTCCGAAATCACTAGCACAAGCAGTGGCTGTGATTTTCGGCTATGTTAAAAGATTTTGAACTAAAACTCTGCAACACGATAATTTCAGATTTCAAAATCCACAGCAAAAATCAACAAAACAAACGATTTACCAAGTATTACCATAAAATACCAATTCAGCTAGCAGATCAAGAAACTAACTCCTAGCTAATTAAAACCCAGAACCTAAAGCCGTTAAAAAACAAATCTCATCTCCAATTTTTACCTTTTAATCATACAAGGTCGTGAGATGGGAGAACATCACCCAGATCTCGGTCCCCTCTAACCTGCATTCCAACCCAATCAGCAATGTTAGATTTCAATCCCAAAAGAAATTAACCAAAGAAAATCTAATCAAAACCCATTTCATCAAACTTACCGAGAGAAGGAACCGAAGGGTTCAGTAGAAGACTCTTGTCGGCAGCGACTGCTGCCTCGGCGGCGTCGACTCCTGCTCCGGCGGCTCCAAGCCGCCCTCTTTTCCTTCGTTTACAACCCGAAAACCCCGAATCCAAAATAAACGCTCAAAATTATAAACAAAGGAAATCTAATTAAAGCCTATTTCGTCAATCTTACCGAGAGAAGAAACCGAAGGGTTTCGGTGGAGTCTCTTGCCGGCGGCAAGCGAGCCCCCTCTTCCCCTCGCGTAAATCCAAAACCGAAAACATCAGAATTCGGTTTTTGAAATAGAAAACCAAAAGAAATCCTACATGCAAGGCGGAATCTTACCCAGTTCGCCATTTTTTTGGTCAATCTGGGGAGTTCGAGTCTTTCTTGTGTCGGTCGATCGGAGAGAAGAGGCAAGTATGAGATGATTTCGTTCTCGGGCGTGGATGATCTCTAGGTAATAGATCGAGCGGGGAAGAAAGCAGATTCGAGAGAGGGGGAAGGATTTCATTTTTTTGTTGTTGTTGTTTGTGTAGTTTCAGAGAGGCCAGAGGGAAGAATAGAGAATCGAGAGAGAGAGAGAGAGAGAGAGAGAGAGAGAGGCGGAGAATTAGAGCATCGGCCGTTTTGGTCGATTTAGGATCAGGCGGCTAGGGTTTATCGGTCTAGGTATATCTATCTCGGCCCCCGAACTGACCAAAATACCCTTAGGGCTTTCTTAAAATTACGGTTCCTTGCCACCGCGTTTTCGAGAAAGTACAAAAATGCCCTTCCCCTGTGTTGAAAAACGAAAATTATAGAGGAGGGTTGAGGTATCGAACCCGCTACCTTCTTATGCGAAAATAGGTACAGCCAAATAACCAGTTGGGCTGCTGGTCCATCTTGTGTAAATTTAAATCAATCAGTTTCATTTTATTATTTAATATCCTGAATACGAAATTTCAGATGCGAATTAAGTTAATCCTGTTTCTTTTCTAATACACAAGTATCTTCCTAACAACTAAGATTATTATGTTTATCTTAACAACCTCGTAATAACCTTTTCAAATTTTATTAACAAAATTCTTAATGCGAGAATCACGATCAGGGGAACGTGATTACAACTAAATTATCAAAGTTATAACGAACTACTTGGACTTTGATCCCGTCTAACGGGTGCGTAGGCAACCGATAAGGTTCGAGTCCAACTAACTAATTAACTTTATCGTTTACGTCAGTGGACGTACAATTAAATTACAATTAATACGATTTAATATTTTAATGGTCCAATGGGACCCTAAAATTACAAAAAGAATTACTAAAATACACCCAATTCGTATAAAATTTATCAACTTAAGTAGTACCGATTTAGGGCGTCGTGGGGTGTGATTTCACTTCCCCACACGTAACCGTACTCCCGAACCCAAATCCCTTAACCGCAGACCATATCTCGATTCTGACCCTAAGGTTAGAGCCGATTCGAAGAGTGTTCGATCCACTCCAAGTAAGATCGATGGCGACTCCCAAAAATGCCGACGCGACGACATACGGACCCCCACGGAGGGACGGTTGCGACAGTCACACGGGCATGCCTAAAAGCTACACGGCCGTGTAAGGGACCCTTTGTGGCCATGTGGAAATTCCACGGAACTCACACGGGCACCCTAGAAGTCCACACGACCGTGTGTGTCGTGGCCGTGTAGGAAGCCTGAAGCCACTTATAGAAACTCCGCGTTTTGACACTCACACGGGCAGCCTGGGAAAGTCACACAGCCGTGTGGCCTGCCCGTGTGGTCGGGATTTTCAGGATTTTAACCCAATTTCGAGCAAATGAGAAGGGAATCGACTTTTCAGAGCAAAAACAGAGCCCTAGAGAGAGAAAGTGCTAAGAACACATCCTAGAAGTGATTTTGGAGCTGGGTTTCATCAATCGAGCTTGGAGATCATCATAGGAGTGAAGATCATCATCCCAGAGCAGATTCTTCCCATTGTTATGAGTATGACTGCTTTGTATTATGTTTTCCTCTCTCTCTCTCTCTCTCTATGGAGTAGAACCCTCTCTCACTTGGGTATGAAGAACTGACTCGCTACGACACAACACCTAACAATGGCCAAGTGTAACCAATGGAAGGGACTGCAGTATAGTGGCTCAAGTGATAAATATCGAATCCAGGGGTCTCTAGAGTTACTATTACTCAGCTTCAGTTTATTATTTAGCAAACCAGATTAAGATGAAAGAACTAAAACTACTCTAGCAAACTACCGTTAAAGTTAATCTAATTACAGGTTGGGAACTCACTTAGGTATGATTCCCCCTAGCCACTAGCCAGACTAACGATTGATGATTTCTAACTTGTTTCACTTTCATTCACAATGCGGAGAATCCTTGACTAGACCTTGAGTCTCGACTAAAGGAACAAGGCCCTCTTGAGTCAATTGCCTAGAGGGACGTATCCTTCTCTAGAACAACTGATCAAGGCGTTCTGAACTAGACTCCCTCTATCGAAAGAGGTTCTCAATCGATACAAAGCAGTGAATCAACCCTCGACTAAAGCAATCGATCCACTACTATCAATCTATGGTGCTCTATTGACCTAATCAGGTATTCCCTCTCATAGGATCAAAGCAGAATCAATAATCTCGACTAAAGCATAATTGAATCATGAAAACATGCATAGATTGAATATGAACTCAAGATTATCAAGTCAGAGTACTCATACAATCATCCAATCAAACAAACATAGCTAGGGTTCCTCAAAACCTAAGTGAAGGGAAGTTACTCCATAGAGAAGAGAGAGACTGCAGTAAGAATCTTCAGATGATCAGTCTTCAAGTCCGGGCTTGTTCCTCGAGCTTCCAAGGCGAAGAAATCCTCCAATTCCACTCTTCGAATGCCCTCAGATCGCCCTTTCTCTCTTTGGTTCGTCCCTTGGGTGTTTGGGATCCAAAACCCAGCTCTCTCCCTCCTTTGGCTCGAATTTGGGTTAAAAAACCCGATTCTGGGCAAAACACGGTCGAGGGCACAGCCGTGCTTTGGTTTTGCCCGCCCGTGTTTTGCCCCGTGTTAAAAACCCTCCCGCGCGCGTCGGCCAAAACACGGTCGTGCCTAAATATGGGCACGGCCGTGTTTTGATTTAGGCGAGCCCGTGTTTTTACTGCCGAACCTGTTCCCCTATATTCAATGCTTCGTTTCTCCCTCGTCCGGACTCCGAATTAGTTGCCGTTTGATCCCACACGCTCGTAGTCTTGTCCTCTTTCTTTTCATGACAAACTTGCATGATTATTTGTCCATAAAGTGAGGTAGAAATCCATTCTTCTTCTGGTCATGCCCGAGTTTCTTCTCCCTAATCGCCAATTGATCTCTGATTGACTTGAAACTTGCGCCTACGCTTCACTTTATGTGCTAGGGCCTGAAATGTGACAAAGGAACACAACCTAGCGTAAATTAGGCCAAAGAAGCGATAATGCAAGCTTAAACGATCAAGAAACAAAGGGGAAAACATGTGCAAATATCGAGTCATCAAGAACCCTAGTTCCATGTGTTAGGGATCATGATCGTAATAACTTGGGATTGCTATACTGTTTGGTTTTAATCGAATGATGCATGATTCACTGAATCAATTGAAGCCTGATCAGCTTTTCTTGATTCCTGCTGCAACCTGAGATAGATAGAATCTGATTAGGTTGTTAGAGCATCATCATTCGGTAGTAGTGGATTGGTTATACGAGAGTTAGTCAATCTACTGTTTTGTACTGGAATCCAATTCTAGTAGTGGAGTTCTGTGCTTATTGCTTCAGCTTTCTATCCCGGTGAAGACTAGTCGTCTGCCGGGTACTTAGACTGAGAGGGCTTGGTCAGCTTAAGAGATTCCAAGCTACTGTCGGATCTTCCTCAGTTTAATCAACAATAAATCAACCAGGGTAATTACAACTGAGACCTAACTAAGGATCTAGGGGGACTCATTCCCGAGTGACTCTTCCTTTGCTTTAGAAAACCGAATCAATTCATGCTTTCTTACTACTTTTAATTAAAACCACAATCAATCGACTTAGTTGTCTAGATAATAGATATTCACGGAGTAGGCAGTAGATCTAGACCCCGGGTTGATAATTAGAACTTGCCACTTTACTGCATTCGCAAACTGCGATTACACTTGGTCGCAATTTGGTGTTGAGTCGTAGCGTGTCAAGTTTTTGGCGCCATTGCCGGGGACCCTTCTAGGTTATTGGAGAAACTTGAAAGTTTGTTACTCTAGCCTTTTCTTGACTGCATTTTCTCTCTTCCACCTGTGTGCCTTCACGGGTTGCTTTTGCCGATTGTGTGCAGGTAGTGCATGACCCGTAGCTAGTCGGGAGATCTAATACCATTAGACCAGGAGCTTGAACGGACCTGCAGGAACTTCAAGCGGGCTCTAAGGACTCGACTGGCTGCGGAGGAGGCGCTAGCACAACTGCAAATCACCGACGAAGAAGAGATGGGTGATCCACAAGACCATGATGTGGTCCTTCATGAGGAACAGACCATGGGATACTACTGGACCGCCAGAGAAGCGGACATGAGGTCGCCCATTCAACACCCTCATGTCCTAGCCAACAACTTTGAGGTGAGCACCTCCGTCATCACCATGCTGCGCGGTTCGGTGGTATTCCGTGGCAAAGAGGGGGAGTGCCCCCGATCACATCTGAGGCGATTCCACGAGCTCATCCAGTTGAGGTACTTCCCATTTACCCTGGAGGGGCAGGCCAATGAGTGGTTGACACTCGACCTCCAGGCTCGATCACCCCGCTCGCCAACCTGGCGGACAAGTTCCTCACTCGCTACCATCCCCCGTCCAAGACGACGGACCTGCAGAAGCAAATTACCCACTTAACTCAGGATGAAGATGAGACCATCCGGGATGCTTGGGAGAGATACACCTGTCTCTTCCTTAAGTGTCCCAACCATGTTTTTATCGACGCCTTCAAGGTGGGCACATTCTACCATGCCCTCTTCCCGGAAGACAAGCAACTGATTAACTCAGTCTATGGCGGGAATATGCTTACCAAAACACCACCACAGCTGAATCAACTGTTTGAAGAGATGTCAGAGCAGGGCTATGACTGGGGAACTGCGAGGAGATCGAGACGAGCACTAGGGCGGGGTGTGCATGTTGTATCCACCCAGTCATCTGATTTGGTGCAGGTGGTATCAAAGCTGGTTTCAGCCATTGATCGTTCCGGGATGATTGCAGGTACAGGATAGCCGCAAGCGATGCTCTGCCAGTGGTGTGAGAGTTCTCATCACACCGTGGAGGATTGTCAGGCAATGAGGGAGTCTTCCACCCCCAGGAGCAGGTGGACTTCATCGGCAATGCCAGGCACTTCAACCCCCTACAGCAACACTTACAATGAGGGGTGGCGCCAGCATCCAACTTCTCCTAGGGCGGGGCAAATTCTAGACCACTAGTCCCCCAGGGACCACCTAGCTTCCAGAGGCCTCCGTACCAGCCCAGACAAGGGCAATTTCAGCAGCCACAACAGCCTCTCTACCCGCCCAGACAGGGGCCAGTTCCACCTCAGTCACAAGTGAGGCCATTTCATCAGACAGGGGCAACACATGCAGCCCCAACACATAGTGACCCGATGGCGGAATTGCTAGATCTGGTGGGTTCTCTGGCCACCTCCAGTGCAAACAAGTTCAATAACATCGAGCAGTTCATGGAGAAAGCTTCAGGCAAATTCATGGAGCTAGAAGCTGGTCAGAGAAACACGCAGGCGGTGCTGCGGGATATCCAGACCCAGCTTGGGAGTGTTGCCTAGGCTGTAGCTCAGAGGCCTCCTGGTACTCTACCCAGTCAGACCATCCCTCATCCGCAGAACCCAAATGAGCACTAGAAGGCCATTACCACCTGGAGTGGCAAGGTGACTGCTGATCCACCTGTTCGGGCACAAGAGAGAGAGAGAG